GAATTTTTGTAACACAAATTAGACAGCTCCCAAAACTTTTTAGTTGGGATGCCACAGTAAAATTCATCATTAAGGATTTGTTTAGATGAATCGTACAATTAGTTGGTTTTTACTTGAAAGATCATTTCACCTATTCTTTCAAATAGATTATAATTATAAATCTAGATAACTATATATTGCCATCTATTTACCCTCAAATTTGAGACATATATAGCTAAATTTTTCCTTTAATTTAATATAATATATAGTTGGATAATAAGTTTGTATGTAAGTGTGTGTATATATATATATATATATATATATATACATATATATAAAAGTCTTTTTAGTTGGAGTATTGATTGATTAGTACTAAAGGAGAGGGGGATGCTATTCTTTTAGCTATATAGTAATTCCCTCGACTTTTTATCTGAAGTGAAAGTTATGTGTAAGATAGATATATTATTTCCATTAACTTAATTATAATAAAATTATATTAATGGTATGATTTTTTTATATGTATTTATATATATATATATGTGTGTGTTCGCGCGAGTATGTATATTTTAAGTGCTTGATTTAATTTATTTTCTTAATGTGAAGGAACTTAATCTTTAGAGAAAATATTCAATAATGGTTGCGTTTGGGATTGGAATTCCGAAGAGGAAAAGAATAACATGGTAGGGCTTAAAAGCCAGACTTTTTTTTTTCCGTTGTAGCTGATTGAAAATGGGTACATGAATGAAAGCAGCCTCTCTTAGTCTGCGTCGTCAACAAGCTTGAATTAATCAGCTTAATGTTCTTCACAATTTTTTTTTTAAATTGTTATCTTCTCTTGAATATATTAGCTAGGCTTTATGTATGTGCGTGTGTGGAAATAGTAGATCTACAAGTATTTATTTAATCTGAAAGATAGTTATCCGATTTTTTTTTTATTATCATGGCGAAATTAATACTGTAAAATTTTATATATGTAATGTTAAATAATGAATTAAAACAATTGGTAATTAAATTACACTAAAATGGCGAAATTAATACTGTAAAATTTTATATATGTAATGTTAAATAATGAATTAAAACAATTGGTAATTAAATTACACTAAAATGGCGAAATTAAATCACCTCTTTCGTCTTCGAGTGCGTACCCGACAAAAAGGATGGATGCTCTAGCTATAAGATAGATTAAGGGAAAGCTGGAAGGGACCAATTAAAATTCCTTCTCTGAATTGAGAAAAAAAAAAAAAAAAAAAAAAAGAAAGAAATCCCTTTACCATGCTAAGGGATTGGATATTTGAAAACTTTTCATTTCAAGTTAATTTCTAAGAAATATTTATTGTAAATTTGATCAAACTTTAGTACTAAAAATAAGTCATTATTGAAAAGGTTTGAAAGAAATTCAAATTAATTAAGATTATTTAATCATGAAACAAAGAAGAAACTTGCTTGTTCTGTCATGCATATAAAACGGATTTAAAATTTTCAATTTTCTATAAAAGGAAACAGTAATTTGAGATAAAAAAAAATAAAGTGGTAGGATTTGAACCATAAACTTATGAGATTTTTTTTTTATTTATTGTATGAATTAATTAAATTAATTTTAATTTTCAATTTTTACATTTAATTAGCAAGGAAAAAAGATGTGATTATATAAACTATTAGTTAGTTATATCCCTAGAAACATCCAATAATTTGAAGTTGGAATCTTAGGTATGGATTTTGAATAGGATTAGAGTTTTACAAGAGACATGACTATCTTTTATTTATTGAATAATTCAAGTCTTATGAATTAAGGATTTATTCGATATATAAAATTACGATACAATATAATAAAATGATATTATAAATAAAATAAAATAAAATAATATTATCATATTTTGTATTCGATGTAATGTAAGAATTATGATAAAATTATTTATTTATTTATCAAAATGATATATTTTTAAAATTTATATAATTTAAAATATTGATATAATTTTTAAAGATATAATATAATATGTAAGTTTAATTTCATGTATTAAAATAATTCTTTTTACTTTGAAAAAATTATATCATCTTATATCAAAAAAATAATTAATTTTTAGATATAAACTAAATATAATATAAAATTATTATTATCTTATTATATTTATTATTTTATGTACTAAATATAATTTATATTTATCGGTTAAAAAATTATTTTTAAGTAGTTTAAATATTTTTTCTTCGTAAATGTATGATTTGATTTGTTAATCTTTTTCAGCTCAGCACATTGAATTGTAAAATCAATACAAGGACAATGTTAGGTTTATATTTCTGGGGGAAAATGGTCCGGCTAGGAAACCGTTGACCAACCCACACGGCCCCATGGAAACGTTGGTCCATATTTTCTCAAAATAATAATAATAAAACCTATTAATAAATATTTCACTTCATATACGTCTTTCTTATTATATTTTTCCTTTTCCCCTTTTTTGACACAACCAAAATTTTTAAGCATGAAATCTTCCAGTTTTTTCAATGTTTTTCTACATCTGTAGTCATTATCTTTCACAAAAGAAATTGGAATTTTGGCAAGAAAAGACAAGCAGCAACAACCCAAAGAGTTCCATCATAACAAAATTGGAATAAATCTAGAAAGAAAATAACACTAACAATTTAAACAAAAGGACAACCATTTCAATTCCATACCCACTTCTTACATACAATCATCTCATCATCATAGAAAAAAAAATTATTAATAAAATAATTCACCAAAGAGAAGAAAAAAAAAGAGATTGAACATTCAATTAAGAAATATATTTATATTTTGGTGGTTTTAGTTTGATATGATGTGTACTACTTCCATGCCATTAAGGAAACATATCAGTACGACAATGTACTAGGATAGACCAAACTATACTTAATTAAATGTTTTAATTAATTAAGTATATTGGGTTTTTTTTAATGTATAAATGGAGTTAATAGCGACTTAAGAAATCCTTGAACTGAGAAAAAAGGTAAAGAAACCAGTGAAAAAAAAAAAGGGAAAATTGGGGTCAGTGTCAAAGGCGATGGTGGGAAGCTTGGCTTGAGATTCTGATATATGACGAATATAAACTTTATTATTTTTTTTAAACTAAAGTGTCCTTAATCAAATCATTACACCGAAGGCTGGAGTATGGAATTAAGGATGTTAAAATAATTATAAAATAATAAGGCGTGCGGCAAAAAAGATGACAAGAAGATCATGACTCAAGCTATCCAAAAAACCAGGTATTTTGTATGGCAAGAAAAGGACGTTTTCGCCTTTTTATGATGGTACCATGCAAAAATTCACTCTATAAAGTGTTTAATTTTCAAGTACTAACAGCCTAACTTAATCAAAAGTATAGGTTTGAATATTTGATTTGTAAACTTTAAATCAATAATAGAAGAACCTTGGCTTTTATTACTCAACAAGAGACAGACCATGCACATGGGGTCGTCTTTCAGATGAGTTTTGAGCGTACCTTTTATGGTGCAGGGCAGGAGAGCTTTCACAAGCAGTGAATGATATCTACCTGACTAATAAAAGTGAAAAGTTTCATCTGATCCCCCACCAAGTTTTCATATGACGATCTAGGAACTAGCATTATGTATGTGTTAGCAGATGGCTTTGGTAATAAATTTAAGAGTTTGATTTGATCAGAGAATGACAGTTGATTCAAATCCCCAGTCCACAACCAATAAAAATTTGGTTTACCTGATAGATGAAGATGATGTGTCAACGTTATTGTTTGAAAAACCAGTCCTGTTAACATCATCACCTCAAAAGCCTTAACTCAGTACTGCTCACTCTTATACTATAATTGTTACTGATGGTGATGGCAAAGTTTCTTGAAAATGAGGGTGATTAGATATAGAAAAAATAGGCAGATTTTGTTGTTCAGAGAGTTATTTGAATTGCTCTCTCCCTCCCCCCTGTAATGTATCTTCCTCGATTTCATTCTTTAATTTTCCTACTCCTCCCATCAAGATCAACTTTCTCTTATCCTGTTAACAAATCTATTACTACCAAACACTTTCATGTTTTTAGTTTCTTTGGTTTTTAGGAATCCCATTGGAGCATTGAAAAGGTTGCTCGGGAAGGTGGAGACGGAATTCAAAATTGGAGGAGAAATAAAGAACATTAAAGTCAGAAAGTAGCTAAGAGACACTTGTAGCAGAGGATTTCTTTTTGTGTAATTTTCAACTACAATTTTGCTAAAGTGTCTGATGGATGAGACAAACTCAAGTAGGGAGCACTTGATTCAAATTCACACATTCATGCATTTGATTGGGACCCCACTGTTTTTGTTTTGTTTTATTTTTTTTCATACATTGAACTATTTACTTTTGGGTAGATTTCAAGTTTATATTTATATATTTCAAATCCAAAATTCTCACGCAGATAAACAATGGGTTTTCTTTAAGTTTGTAAACATATATATATTTACTAATATTTATTTCATTTTGTATTTATAAAAAATTTTCAGGCATTGAAGTTGGTGTCACGGTGGTTTCATGGTTCTGTTTTCCTTAGCAATTTAATTGCTTTATCTCCAAACTCTGGCATACAACCACGAAAAAATTAGCCCAAAAAATTCTGAAAAGAAAAACGAGAAAAGACGAAAAGATATTTAATGTTGAATCGAGGACTAGGACCCACCACCTTCTCTGTTCATGATGATATGATCATCATCATCATCACCACCACCATCATCATAATTATCATCATTATTATTATTATTAATTAATTAAGTTTTGGTGTGGAAGGAGATGTTTCCACGTTTCTCAGACCAGATGCTTGTAATCTTCTGACACAGAAATATTTCATTTTTTATATAAAAGCTTTATTACTAATTTTTATACATATATATATATATATCATATCAAAAAACATCTTTCTCTTACCCTTTCCTTCACAGAAAAAAAAAAGAAAAGAAAAGTGAGTGTCATCAAAGTTGCTTGGTTGCATCAAATGATTTGAAAAGGGAGGGTCAAATCAGAGAAGTTCCCTTGTTTTGATCTATTTGCAGGTACTTCGCCTAAAAATAAAAAGCTACAAAAGAGAATGATAGAGAAGGGAGGGGGGTTGATATCATCCGTGAAAGGATAACAATCTGTCACAGTTGCAGGTCTCCCACCAAGTTGTCAAAAGCAAAAAAAAAAAAAAAAAGAAAACTAACTACTCCTGTGTATCTTCCTAGTTTCTTTGAATAAGAAACATTTTTTTTCTCTAAAAGCTAGAACCAAATATAGGAAATGGGAATTAAAAGATGGGTTTTAGTTTAACTCTTCCTCAAGTACTCTCTCTTTACACCCAAAAAAGACGGTATCTTTTTCTCAGCCTTTTGTTTAACCTCATCTCTCTCTTTCTTTCTTTTTTGCCCTAGTCATTGGGGGAGTTGCAGAGATTTTGAGTCAGACAAAAGAACTAGCTTTCCTCTCTATGTTGTGAAGGGGAATTGGTAAAAATTAAAATCATAAACTCCATAGATAGATCATATTCAGACAGGCGGGCATAGAGGAGTGAATGGTGGCCCCTTACCTTCTCTTTTTCTTTAACTCAAATTATGGTATTTTGGCTTTTCTTTCTCAATTTTTTTTTTCATAGCTAAAAAATCCCTCTTTTCATTTGTAGCGCAGATGATCATGAAGCACGTGCACACTCAGATAACCATCACACCAGGTACCAATATTATTAACTACTATAATCAATTCTTTTTCAGTTCTCTCTCTTTCAATCTATGTACCTGATCCTTCTCTCTCCTATTCTCCTTCCTCTCTATCTTTATATAAACACCATAGCTTTCTTCCCTGTACTCCCTGTCCTTTTCCTGTCCTTCTCATGTCTTCAAGCTCTAGAATGTGAAGACCTAGAGACGACAACTAACATTTTCTGTTTCCAAACCCTGAACCAAAATCACAATTACTTGTATTTGAAATTTGCTATTGATTTTTCCAGGATCTACTTGATCATCCGAAGACAATCGATATTTCATTTATCCCTGCTGCTACTCTTTTAAAGTATCCCTCTCCAATTTCCTCCTACGATTCATCAACCAATAGCAAAACGTTGATTCAAGGACTTAGGATTCATTGTGAAGAATAAGCTAAAAATGTGAAAGCTTTGGTGTTGTATATTTTGATTGATGTTATGGATGGGTTTTTATTTTTATTTTTTTTTGATGTATGTGACTATGCAAGTACTAATACTTAAGTCTTTCTTTTCTTTTTCTTTCAGTGAAGTGAAAGCAAAGAAAACAACATTACATTTTTGCAAACTCGTAGAAAGAAACAACATCTGATGGCGACGTACTTTCATGGGAACCCTGAAATCCAAGCAGCTGATGGTCTCCAAACCCTCGTACTTATGAACCCTGCCTATGTTCAGTACTTAGATACCCCTCCTCCGCCAGAAAGCAACCTAGTTTTCCTCAACTCCAACTCCCTCTCTCCTTACGCTCCATCGCCCCACACTCAGCAATTCGTCGGCATCCCCCTCCCTGCCACCTCCGGGGCCGACCAAGACCCAATTTCGCACGACATCTCCCCCTTGCATGGCCTCGTTCAGCGCGTCCATTACAACTTGTACAACCCTATTAACCCTTCTGGGGAGACGCGTGAAAGTCCACGCGCTCAACAGGGACTCTCTTTGAGCCTTTCTTCCCAACAGCAGCCAGTTTATGGATCACGGGGTGAAGTAGTTTCAGGAGAGGACATGCGGGTTTCAGGACGGTCGGCTTCATCGGGTTCAGGGGTGATCAATGGAGTGTCAGGTATACAAAGTGTGTTGTTGAGTTCTAAATACTTGAAGGCTGCTCAAGAGCTTCTTGATGAGGTTGTTAATGTTAACAATACTGGGATTACGAAGAGTGAATTGGATAAAAAGGGTAGTGGAAATAATAGCAATAGCAGTAAGGCTGTTAGAGAGTCGTCAGCGGTGGCGGGAGATGGTTCTGGTGGTGAGGAGGCAGGTGGCAAGCGCGATGCCGAGTTGACCACAGCAGAGAGACAGGAAATTCAGATGAAGAAAGCAAAGCTAATGACCATGCTTGATAAGGTATGGAAATTATGTAGATATTTATCATATATATTATATAGTTGTCTTTTGTATGCTTTTTTGGTGGGTTTGGTTTGATTTTTTGAAAGTGTAAGTGTTAAGAAAATAAGTTTGTTTTCTTAGGAAAGTTGTTTTTTTCAAGGAAAATATTGTTCTAAATATGGGGGAAATTGAGTTGACTCCTTATCAATTGATACAGTAATAGTAACGAAGAGAATCATGGAAAACCGTGGGATAAAAGTTACTTTCATTGAGTCATCAAATGGAATTTTAATAATTTGAGGTCTTATCGCTTTAGATTTCAATCTTTGTTGAAGAAGAAGAAGAAGAAGATAAAGTGCGTCGAATTTTCTTGAAATTGAAAGCCGTATTTTGATTTAGACCTTAAAACAATGAAATTTATCGATTGTATGCCAGGTTATTCAAATCTAGTTAGCAAGACTGAATTTCAATGTTCTTTTAGATGTCCAAAGTCCATGCTTAAGCACAAGTGCACAACATTGATACTGAGTCTTTTTTCATAATCTTTTTCCAGGTGGATCAAATGTACAGGCAATACCATCACGAGATGCAGATTGTAATTTCTACATTTGAGAAAGCTGCTGGAACTGGCTCTGCTAAAATATATACAGCTCTTGCATTAAAGACCATCTCAAAGCAGTTTCGGTGTTTGAAAGATGCAATAACCGGTCAAATTCGAGCTGCAAACAAAAATTTGGGTGAAGAAGATTGCCTAGGAGGGAAGATTGAAGGGTCGAGACTTAAGTTTGTCGATCATCACCTTCGACAACAAAGAGCACTTCAGCAGTTGGGAATGATCCAGCACAATGCTTGGAGACCCCAAAGAGGATTACCAGAAAGATCAGTTTCTGTTCTTCGAGCTTGGCTCTTTGAACATTTTCTCCACCCGTAAGTACTCTAAATGATTCTTATTGCCACGTTGGGAATATTCCTTATAGTTTCTAAATTTGGAAGGTCCTTTTCATTTTCCAGTAGTATCTGATTTCTTTATTTGCATTTCAGCTATCCTAAAGATTCAGACAAGCACATTCTTGCCAAACAAGCAGGGCTTACTAGGAGCCAGGTACTGGCTAAATTCTATGTTCTTCACTATTGTCTTACGACTTTTGCCCCAATCGTGGCTTGTCTAATTCAATAATGTTTTTTGTGATAATTCAGGTGTCTAATTGGTTCATAAATGCTCGAGTCCGGCTTTGGAAGCCAATGGTGGAAGAAATGTACTTGGAGGAAATCAAGGAGCAAGAAGAGCATGGTTCTGAGGACAAAACAAGCAAGAACCAGAATAATGAAGATTCAGCATCCAAATCCACTGCTCCAGAGAAAAGTCCTGCAGAAAACCAGGCGAAAAGTTTCAGTTCCAAACAGGACAATTCCACAAACCAGAATGCTTCCTCAATGCCAACGTCTCCCCTTGCAGGAAATATCCGTAACCAGTCAGGATTCTCCCTCATTGGGTCATCCGAATTGGAAGGGATCACCCAAGGAAGTCCAAAGAAACCAAGGAGCATTGAACTGTTGCAGTCCCCAACTAGTGTTCCATCAATAAACATGGATATCAAGCGAAGTGAGGCAAGCAATGAGGTTTCTATGAAGTTTGGGAAAGATGGCTATTCATTCATGGGAGGTTTTGGGCAATGTCCTATCGGAGAAATTGGAAGGTTTGATGCAGAACAGTTCGCTCCAAGGTTTTCAGGTAATAGTGTTTCCCTCACTCTTGGTCTTCCCCACTGTGAAAACCTTTCCTTGTGTGGAACTCATCGAACTTTTCTCCCAAACCAAAGCATGCAAATGGGGAGAAGGCTGGACGTTGGTGAACCAAATGAGTTTGGTGATATAAGCCCTTCCACACCTCACTCTTCGGCTGCCTATGAGAACATCAACATTCAGAACAGAAAAAGGTTTGGGGCGCAATTGTTACCAGACTTTGTTGCCTGATGAATATATGATTTGAGGATTCAAGAAACCTATAGGGAATGGTTTCAGGGATTCTCATTCATTGTTTCTTGCTGTCCTCTTCATTTTCTCTCCCATAAGTAACAAGTATAATGCACGGTATATTGTAAAGAAAGAAGAAAATTCACCTACTATAGGTTTTATACTTACTTTAGGATTTCAGCATATATTTGAGCATTGTGTATTAGTTGTGTAAGTTTTGGGAATTGGATGGATTGATATCATAAAATTAGTTGCTTGAGTTACCAAATTTTAGTCAATTTGGGTTTGCATGTAGTATTTTATCAAATGGATGAGGAACAATTTACTAATTTAGTCCTATGCTGATGTTAAACCGATCACAAAGAACACAGATAAGATTGGGTTAAAAGTAGCCTTTTTCTTTTTTGGAGTAATTAGTGGTTTCTTTGTTTAAACTATCTGCTGAGCACAGCATCTTAGAATCAGACTTCGCAGCAACTGAATTCTTTGGAGCAAAACTGCTACCATGAACATTCTTGATGAAGTGCTCAATCTTTACTGTGATCTTATGAGAAAGAGGATCTGCAATTTCTACTCTTTTATCAATGCTTGATGATTGAAACATCTGGAATCATGGTTACCGAATGCATTGTTAAATTAACATCAAGATTTCAAATGCAGAAAGTATGCAAAAGTTTACAAAATATAATTTTTCAGGCTTGAGATGAGGTACCCTACTGTTTCTCCTTATGAGAATCTTAAAAAAAAAAAAAAATACAGGACGGAAAGAAAATGTTATGGCTTAATAAAGTTGTCAAGAGTAGGACAAAAGTGCAGAAGTGGTCCATCGGGTTGCGGAAGGATTTAGAAGATTATGCTTAATTAAAGAAAGGGAAAGAATAGCAAAAGTACTATTTTGTTATTGAGATTAAATAAATCAATTTAACTTCAATCTTCTCTATTCTAATTGACTATATAGTTCACATTCAATCTTCTCTTCACTGTTTGAATTTTTTTTTTTTTGAAAACTGCTTGGAATGATCAACTCCAAAGGAATACATCAATGATCAAACCAAGCAAAATTGTATATTTCTTTTACCTGTAGAGTTCGTTCTGTTTTTGCAGCAGCAAAATACAAATAAAAACCATTTGAATGTTTTCATCTTAAATTTGAGTTTTGAAGCTTGTCCACCCATATAACTACCACCTCGTAACATTTTGAATCAGCCTTGTGCTGATGCCTGGCAAATTATGCTCATGCCCATGTCCTTTTGAGAGCATTAAAAAAAAAAAAGACTCAAGCTCACCAATACTTCTCAAAAGTTCTGCTCAACTAGGATTTTCATATTTAAAATCAAAGTTAACCCACACAAAGCTGATAATATGGCTGCACAAGTCCAGCAGGTGGCAATTGTACACCTTGATTTCATTTTCTATGAGATTAATCTCACCTATGCGTTTATACAGTTATTGAGGATCTAGCATTACATGATTTACAAACACAAAAATTTCAATTTCAAACCAAACAAAGAGCAGAAGGGGCCACTAACTTAGACGTCTCTTTATTTTAATGACACTTCCCTTTCTAAACGCCCCTGTAAACTGACTAATAAAAAGAAACAAATATGAAAAACCTTGAATGCTCAATGCTTGACTAAGCAAATGGTAATTGAATTAGAACCTAAACAAAATGGGAGATAAGGTTTAAAGTGTGTAGTCATACAATGGCCGCCCCCTAACAGAACCAGTCTCCCCTTATCAACTTTGGACCTGTAACACCATACCTCAAATGCCTCGGTTGGATCTGGATAATTTACATGTTCATTTCCCAACCATTCAGTCAAAATCTCAGCTTGGTCTACAGATGGCAATCCAAGAATTATCAAAACAAATATCGATTCCAATGACTGCCAAATTTCACCATCTATCTTAAATGCCAAAGAATCCTAATCATTAGTCATGACAGAATCACCATGTCAAGCCGTTTAGCAGTTGGCAAAATAACAGTGCCATACCCTATTAACTCCAAAACTTTTGCCACAACCTCAACAACCTTCAGCATTGTCTCAATTATTTCAGCGGTTGGACTTGATTGCATGACCTTAACTATTTTATCAGCTGCATCCGCCCAACTGTTAACGAATTCCCTCATAATTTCCAACTTTGTCAACAGCTGACAAACCCAGGACTGAAATGATTTCATCATTCCTGCCTCACCAACCAATTATGTGAGCTCACATAAAAAACCTTCCAACAGATTGTTAAATCTAGAAAATAGTCTCCTTACACAATCTTTTACCTCAGATTTGATATCATCATTGGCAATTAATAGTGGGGAATCGTCATCTTCCGTTACCATGTACTCAAGCTACCCTTGAGCCGAAGATTCGAGATCATTTATCAAAGTGGCAGGAATAACATAGCAAATCAAAGAGTTGAGATAAAAATCTTACGTATTGCCAGTAGATTGACTGGTTGGAGATGGACAAGAATTGGCTCCACTTCAGAACCCATTGCCGGTATGATTCTTAAAATCTCCTTCTCCTCAGACTCTTCCCAAGTAACAGCTTCTAAGTAGTTCACACAAGCACTAACTATTTGTGGGCACCCAAGTTCAATGGCAACCTGTAGAATGCCCAGGGCATTTTTTACACCATTCCACAAGTCATCTACTATGCCATCTATAACAACATAGAGAAGGCGCATAACATTGACATGGTAATCAAAGTCTGATTCCTGGCAGTAAATCTCTAACACAGTTGCGTGAGTCAAGAATCTGACATGTTGGCCAATTCTCAGAGAGGTGGATCGCAAACAATTTGCTCTTCTTTACAAGGACGTTGGAGTGACAATATATCCACTCATCACGCCCCTCATGTGTTCGTAACCTCACAACAACATCAATGGTTGATCGGTCACGAATTCTACTGGGAGCATCCAATTTATGTCCCTTAAAGCAAGAGGAAATAATATACATAAAAAACTAGAAACAGCTGATATCGAAGAGTTGTTGAAGGATAAATGTAATAAAAGAAGAAAATTTCAACTACAAATACTACAAGTAAACTAACTAAAGTTGTACGTTTGAATAAATATAGGATTGGAAGGTAAACACCAAGAACTAAATCTAAGTTAATCTAAAACTTTCAAAAGCAACACAGGTCACTCCATTAAACCAAATGGATACAAATAACTCTAAAAAGCAAACTGAAATTTCATTTTACACGGAAATTAAATATCTTCAAAAGGGACCAAGATGCAAGTAAAGTTTCTTGTTGCTTATTCAGCAGCAAAAGGGATGAAAGAAAATACTCCAAAAAACGGCTCTTCTTTAGAAAACTGAAACAAAATACCCACTGAGCCAATATTAAAAGTGGGAAATTTGTGTGCGCATATTTTGACATGAGTTGGGAAAACTTTCGCACTCATTTAAAAAAAAAAAAAAACCCGAAAATGCTTCATTTTCTTTTACAGAATTATATAGTTGCTTATCTAAAATGGTTAGCCGTTAGACCCAAATACAGAATTTGAAAGACAATAATACCTTCTCTTCTACTTTGAAGTCGCATTAGCATTTAGCAGTAAAGAAGGAAGACAGCGCTCTCCTTTCTTTCTCTTATCTTTTTGAATTCTGAATCGAGAGAAAGGTTGGATTGGAAATTGGGAGCCAGATGCGAATTGAGATGTGTTGCCAGATCCCTGGAGCCATTGGCCCAATTGAAGTTCTTGGACTCAGAAAAATCTTGGGTTCGGTTTTGCTGGCTTTTACGGAGGATGGGAATAGATATTATAGGAGTATAAAAATGTAAATGAATATGATTTTAAATTTTTATTAGGTATGAAAATAAAGACGATAATATAATATTTATTTTGTATCTGTATTATATATACGTGTTTAGTAAATAAATTTTTTATTAAATAATATAAATTATTATTTTATATTAATTAAAATTAATAAATTTTTATTGAAAATAATATATTAATATATAATTATCTAAATATATAAGATAAAAATTAAAAAAAAACTTAAAAATAAATTTTGGTTTTTATTATTATTTTTTAAAAATTATGGATATGAGAATTATTTATGTCCATTAAATATTCACGAAAAATGATGAAAATTGATTTAAAATATTCATTATGTATAAATACAAAAATCGATATAATATAAAAAATCTAAAGATAAATATGAAATATTTTACCTATTTCATATCCTATCCATTTAATTCTCACTTTTTTTCTTTTTTTATTTTTTACTTTAGGTGAATAAACTGAAATTCATTTAAGATTTCATTTGATCCAATTGAAAAAACAAAAATTTTGTCGTAAAAGTTTATTAGGGTATTAGGTATGAGAATAAAATATTATCTGAAAAACAAATAAAAGATCCTAAAATCTATAAGTTTCAAATTCAAACTCAAGTATACGTAGAATTTATACAACTTGATGATGGTTTGATGGTTTATTTAATTTTGTAAGATTCACGGGTAATAATTTTATGTTTATATTAATAATTTGTCTATAAAAGTTTTAAAAATAGTTGTATAAAGTAATATTTTATTTAAATAAATAATATATTAGGTTGATTTGATATGTATAACACCACATCAGTTATAAACAATTGAATCAAACCAAAAACCAAAGTTATAAACTTCAAAACCTACGTCGAAATTTGGAAAATTAAAAGGAAATAATTCATAAGAAATTAATTTGATAATTCATAGTATATAAACTTAAAACGATATTGGTCATTAATGAAGTCGAGAATTTTCAGTAAGTGCGTGGTCGTAACGACCAAAAAATTAGAAAAGTTTGCATTACAAATAATAAAGCAGAAGAAAATTCATATTTCAACCCAGTCAATCTCGCAATTAATGATTAATTTGACCCTTAGGGATGTTTTGTTGGGCACTCAATTGCTAGAATTAAAAAGAAAAAAAAAATGTAATCTGCTTTGATTTGGTGCTTATATATGGAAGCTTACGGAATGCATTGAAGAGGTAAAAATACAAAATTTATATATTTTGAAGAGTTTTTATGATTCGTTTACATAAATATTATTATTACAGAATCGTGATATGATTTATTCATATATAATAACAAAATTTTAATTCATAATAAATTTTAAATTTTAGTGTAGCTTAATTTAAATACAATAATTTATATATAGGTATTATGTAAAATATTAATAATTTATGTTTTTGTGTAATATTTTGTATAAAAATTATTTGTTATAATTTATATTAATATGAAAATAAATATATATTTTTTGATTTTATTATATTTATTTATATCTTTTGTTAAAATTTAAAATTATATTATTTTTATTTCGTATCATTATATCATATTTTAAATTATTAAATATAATTTAATCATAATCACATTGACCGTAAATTTGAAAATGCTAAAGGATTCGGAAACGACTTAATGAATTGGAATCCGATGAAGTTCGCAAAAATTACTGTGGGTCATGATGCTATAGAGTCACCTTCTGGAACCAAATATTTAAAAAAAAAAAAAAGGAGTGGGGTGGGGCTGCAGCAGCTAAATTTGACTGTCCCTGGCTATATGATAATTAAGTTTGCAAAACATGTGATGATGGTCATGGTTAAGCTAATTAACATGAAAAGTTGGGCAATTTCAACCCTTTCAAAATTTCCAAGTATTTCACGAGAAAACAATAATTAAAACCTAATTTCATTTTTGTTCTTGTATTAACGTGCAAATTAACAAGACACTCGAATTTTGTTAATTATTAATCAAAATAATTATTATAAGATAAATGAGTAAATTTTGCAGTGTTCAAAAGGAGTAGAGTCAGGAGTGTTCAAACAAAAAAGAAGCTGGCATGAAATGAATGAATCTTTGAAATTCAAAGTAATAATAATTCCAAATGACCAGCCCACTTGTTGGGCCATGAATGTATATATTATTCAACATTTGAAAAATTATTTTCTACCCTAAAAAAAAACCAAGTCTCATCTAATTTTTTTTTTATATCCTTTCATTAATTTGCCTGTAAAATAACATTTTTTTTCTAAAAAATAAATACAAGATACATTTGTCTACCAACCATTAATTATCATAAAGTTTATTTTATTTTATAGCAATTTTTAATTAAGTAAAAAGAAAATATAATATAAAAATATATAAGGAGCAGAAACAATCAGTGAAAAGTAGTAACCAAACATTTTAATTAAACACCAAATTATATAAACCTGAACAAGATTGATAATTTTGATCACATTTAACCTGCATCCATTATTAATTATATAAATGTTGATTAATAATTATACGAGATACACGTGTCTGCCGGTGCTTTTTTCCTTTCAACTTTATATTCTGTTCAACTTCCATATGAAATTACATTGCAAAGTTGATAAAAAAAAAATCATTAAAATCAAGAGGGTCTGGTTTTCCTCCAAACTTTTATTTTTCAATTTTGTAAAAAAAAAAAAAATAATAACAGAGTCAAGCCAGCCGTTGACTCAGCTTTTTTGACTCCCATCACAAATTTGTGTTACGATTTATTTGACTATCACCGCTATCCACAACAAATGCAATAATATATTTTCTAGGTTATAGGAAGCACCAGAACTTTTTTAGTTTCAATTTTACAAAACTAAAAACAAAGAGAATATAATAGTTTTGTTTCCTTAAGAAAGAAAAGACATGAGAATGAGCCTTTGCGTGTTGGTACCTTTGTTTTTTGGCCAGATTACGTGTTACTTTAATATGTGCAAAAGCCTCAACATTTCTCCATTTGACCAATCATCTCTCTCTTTGGAATGAATTTAATGGGAAGCGATGACCAGTAAGAGACGATCCCCCACTTCTTTCCCATTTGGTCTATAAATTAAGCCGCTTTTTCTTACCACTCAAAGCCTCCCCACCATTCCATACTTTTGCCTTTGCCTCGCCGTTACGGAAAAACAAAAACAAAACAAAAAGCTCTTAATTTCAGCTTCTTTCTCCGACATTAACATTGTTTTTTTTTTTTTTCAATCTTTTGCACCATTCTTTTTCCAAATATTTCATGGAGGATATTGAAGTTCCCAAGTATTTCATCTGTCCCATATCTTTACAAATCATGAAAGACCCCGTGACGGCCTTAACTGGTATCACATATGATCGCGAGAGCATTGAGCAATGGCTAATCACAGGCAAAAACACCAGCTGTCCAGTCACCAAGCAACCTTTGCCTAGAGATTCTGATTTAACGCCTAACCATACGCTGCGTCGCTTGATCCAAGCCTGGTGCGCTGAGAATGCTTCGCTTGGCGTTGACCGGATTCCTACGCCTAAACCTTGCCTTGATAGATTCCATTTCCTTAAACTCATCAAAGAGTTTCAACAGCCTGATTCGAAGATGAAAGCTCTCAGAGAACTGCATTTATTGGCGGCGTCCAAGAATGAAAGAAACAGGAAGTATATGGTGGAGGCTGGGGTGCCTAAAGTTATATTATCATTTATTGTAAATTGTTCCATGGAAGACAGTATCAATGGCCTGGAAGAAGCCCTAAGCGTACTTTTTTATATTCGAATTCCAGCCGCTGAAGCAAATTTGTTTCCCAAAGAAAATCATCAGATTATCAAATCATTGATATGGGTATTAGGACGTGAATTCAAAAACCAAGTTATGGTTAAATCCCATGCGGTTTTAACATTGAAAACGATCATTGAAACAGCAAGTTCTATTTTACTGGAAAGATTAGAACCACAGTTCTTTGAGATGATTGTAGGAGTTTTGAAACAAAGCACCAGTGTCACTCAACAGGGAATGAATGCAGCTTTGCATGTTCTATTAGATGCTTGTCCTTGGGGAAGGAATCGGTTAATGATGATTGAATCAGGAGCAGTTTCTTCGCTTATCGAGCTTGAATTGGGATCACCCGAAAAGAGAACCACCGAGCTTATTCTGGGAATACTCTTCCATTTATGTTCTTGTGCAGATGGGAGAGCTGAGTTTCTTAGCCACAAAGGCGGCCTTGCCGTGGTGACAAAGAGGATTATGAGAGTTTCTCCCACGGCGGACCATCGAGCCATCTTGATTCTTTCATTGATAAGCAAGTTCTCTGCTACGAATTTGGTTGTTCATGAAATGTTGGATGTTGGAACTGTAACTAAGCTTTGCATGTTGCTGCAAGTTGACTGTGCAACGTATTTGAAGCAAAAAGCTATGGAAATCCTTAGATCACATTATGATGAGTGGCAAAAGTTCCCTTGCACCGATAAAACTCTCTTTGACAAGTTATACTAATGAAATTCAACATTAGTTCTAAACTTATTATATTTACTTTTCTTATTACTATGTAATTGTGAACTATTATATTCACAACCAATTATCCCAATTTTTTCTATGCGCATGTCATAATTGAATGTATATAGACAATTTGGACCATTGGTTGTGAATTTATAGATATATTTTTTTAATTTTGGTGATTAATTTATTAAAAAAATTAAATACCGTTGAGATAATTTAAGATACATTTGAACTTAGTTCAAATGGTTAATTTCTTATAATTTTTGTTAATTGTAAATATCATTACCATAATTTTAGTATGGATCAATTGAGTAATCAATTTACATATCATAGATATGATTTTTGATGATTACTTGTTATTCATCTTCCAATCATGCTATTTGTTTAATCAAACCTTGAAGTAACTAGAAGAATTCAAGCATATATGCATGGAACCAGCTAGTAATTTATAAATTACTTATCCCCAAAACCCCAAAATCAATGAATATTGAATACAATAATTAAGTCCATCAATCCTTTGATGCATGTTTTATGATAATTTGGGATAAATTAGGGATTTAAATATAAGATTTGTGATTTTAGAAGAAAGATATGAGCAGTTATTATTTAATAATGTTGTTTGACTGATGAATTCCCAAGTTTCTAGGAATTCACAAGAACAGGCATGGCACTTTAATCAAATGGGAAAATCAGTCTCATAATTTACTTTTTTGCTTAAAAAATGCCAGGTCAAGGTTTTCAACAAACATGTTAAAAGGCTTCTAACTGTTTCTAAGTAATCAAATGTACTAAGCATGTTACCTGCTTTCTAAATGATGTTGGTAACTTGTAATTAATCACATATTCAAATTGGTTATACTATTTTTATTATTATTATTCAAATTAGTTTAATTTTTATTTAAAAGCTATTTTCAAAATTAAAAAAATTTTAAATTTAAATAAAAAGCTCTATCTATTTTGTTTCTAAACTTTGTTTTTGTTGACGAAGATTTAATAAAAAATCTTAATATGCTTGCATTTTATAATTACTGCAATAATAATAAGGCAGTAGGAGTAATAAATTTGTGGTCGTACGGATCAACGCAAGAAGCAGCAGCACACAACACGAGCAATGGCGTTTGAGAGCGTGTTAACGACCTACGTTTCTCGAGTCCAATGACTCGCTGAGCTCACTGGTTCAAGCGCAACAATGGCAACTCCCAGACCACCAAACAGTAACAACGCCGTTAGATCCAGTAATGAATAACTTAAGCTTGTATCATGAGATTGATCTACAATTAAACTCACACAAATCAGAGATTGGAGTTGTCGATTTGGTTTTAATCGAGGGGTTGAGCGGAAGAAAAACGTTTAAGGAAGCCAAGCGTCGGATCTATGGCTTCGGCTTTTGGGTTGAAAGAGAGGCGGAAGCTTGGGCATGGACAAGAATGTTGCCGGAAAACTTGGGCATCGGTTTTTCAAAGCCCATCCCCACTCAATATAAATTCATAATATTGTATTCTACTGAGTCTCTTTTTTCTTCAAATTCGAAAAAAAATTGAATTTTTTATGGAAAAGATCTTTGAAATTTTGAATTTCATGACAAAATATTCTTTAAATTAAATAATTTTTTGTATTAATTTCTAGTTACTTATTCATAAAACTACACCATTATTTCATCTTTAAAGGTCAAAAGTAAACGATTAAAAATGACTTGCAGTCGTCTTTGCTTGAGTTCATAGTTTAAGATTTATAATTGACTCTAGTTTATTACCCTTTGGCTTTGACCATTACCACATTTGCACGTTAAAAATTTCTATAATTCTATAATATTTTATTACTTTTATTTTTTGAAATAAAAAATTATTATTTTATACATTAATAATAAATTTTGAAAATTTTAGATATGATATTAAAATGTATTATTACATGCTTTTTTAATTATTATATATTAAATTTTTTTTAACTAACTCAATCTAACATGTGTCAATTTTATAATTAGGTCCGAAACATTGCTTTAATAATCATAATAATAATAATATAATAAAACTATAGTATTACATCCAATTTGTAATATGTTATTTCGGTATTTCCCAAAATTTACAGCACGTGGGAAAATGTATTTGCTAAAGACGTGGGTAAGTGGGTTGTTATTGGGCATCAGTTTTTTTAACCAACCCAATATAGCAAGCCTAATGATTACTCGTTCAGTTTCTAACGACATTAAGAACAATGGTTGGATTTTCAGACTGAAAAACCTTGAGGTGCAATTAATGGCAGACCACATCCATTATAATAATTATATCACAATTAATTATAATTTAAAAATTTATATAAAATTTACATTTAAAAATAATGAATTTTTCTATAATTTTTAAATAATTATAAAATTATAAATAAAATATTCTCATTTTATTTACTGTAGTTCTAAGACACGGAAAAGTATCGTTTACTTTGACAATGGAACAAATGGATCAAAGTGTGACACCTTTTCCATAGTCTAAACATCTGATTTGAAAACTAATGAATTAAAAAGCTTAAAGTATACCCGAATAAGCAATTTACACCACTCCTTTTTTTTTTTTTGGCTACTTGGCAATAAGTTAGTGGGTTGACTCCCAAAAACAAATTAAACCCCAAAACGATAGAAACTAAAGAATAATATTAGCTTAAACCTCTTCCATTCCCATTTCTAGTCAGGGACCGATCTTGAATATACATTTAATGGGGGTAAAAATACATATAATATTGAATATATATAAGTTAATTAAGATACATAAAAAAAATTATTTTAATATACATAAAAATAATATATTACAATTGTTCTTTATCACTTTTCATATTTTTAAATTATTGTAAAATCTTTTCATTATCAATATTACAAAAAATATATATTTTATATATGTAACTAAATAATTATTTATCCAATAATCTCTCGTTTAGTTACACAAACGGTTTTTCATAATCTTCATAGCAAAAAAACTTATTTCAATTGATATAGTAGAAATTGACAATATCAAAACTAATTTTATAAGTATACCAGTTGATACATAAAATGTTTTTTTATCTCAACAAGTTTCACGGAAAGGTCATTAATACTTTTTAAACTTGTAAATTTATCACGAAATCTTAAATGAACAATGTAAGTTTTAAGTTGATTATTAATAATTAGTAGCTCAACATTAAAAAATTTAGTTGGATAAATTTGAGCAAGACAAATCAGCTTTCCCTTATCAAAAGTTGTAAAAGAATCATAAGAATTTAAATAAACAACACAAAGATATAACTCCATATTCACCTTATTAAAACGATTATTAAGTTCTTGAAGTTGCATATTAATTACTGTATAAAACAACTCAACTCGATAATAATGTAAATTTGTCATTGTTAAAGCATTGCGTCGAGGTTTTCCACAAGTTACAAACATATCATCCATATTTAGGATGCCAATATTGTTTTTCTCACAAAATAAAAAAAAAAATTTATGCAAAAATTTTCATTCATCATCTCTCATCGTTTGTAGTCGTTGTTTCACTACTTTTATTAATGCCATCACATTCACAATATCTTGATCTCGCCTTTATAATGCCAAGGACAAGTCATTTGTAATCCCTAATATATTTTTCATCAAATGCAAGTTGAAAGCAAAGTAAAAAAATTGAGTCGAATCTAATAAGACAAAAGCTTCACCTCTTCCACGATAATTTCAAGCACATAAATTGTAGAACTAAACATAAGGATTAAATTTATTAAAGTCTCATAATGTGGGCCCCATCATGTATCTCCAACTCGTTTAAGACTTATTTCTTGATTTAAACTTTTTCCCATAGAAAGTTCATCGATTTATAATGCCTCAACAATTTTATTAAGTTATTTTTATCAAAAAACATCTATTTATTTACATAAAGCCCTGATAATATTCACAACATTTGTCACAATGTTGAAAAGTAATGCAATTTGAACATGATTCTTTGCCACGGCTACAAGTATCAATTGAAGTTGATGAGCGAAACAATGAACATAATAAGCAAATATATTATCTTTCATGATCAAAGTTTTTAGCCTATTGAATATACTTTGTATGTTGCTTGCTCCATTTTAACCTTCCTTACGAATGTTTGAAATATTCAAATAATGCTGAGAGAATAATGCTTCAATAGCTATTTTAAGTGACAGTGGTTGTATCACTAACATGTATTATACCAAAAAAACGTTCAATAACATGCCCTTTAGAATCCATATAGCACAAAGTAATAATAGCTTGTTATTTGATTGAAACATCACGAGATTCATTAAGTAAAATGAAAAATAATCCATCTCCAAGATCTTTCATAATAGTATTGGTAGTTTTAATTGCTGCAGCACGAACAATATTTTTTTGAATATCATGTGCTATTATTTTTTAATTTCTTGGTGTATTCTCCAAGATAACATTATTGATGGTTTCATTATGATTGGCAGGAAATCTAAGAAGTTTAAGAAAATTTTTTTGATTATGAGAATTCTCAGTTTCATCTCTATCACAAAATATCAAACCTTAACATAAAAGAAAATGAATACAATCAAGTGTCACAGTTAAACAAACTCAATTATCTTTTCATGCTTTATCAGATTGTTTTGCAAAAGTAAATTGAATATATTGCTTTTTATTGAGCAAATCTTGACAATACTTCAAAGCTTTGTTATGAGCATTATTAAGACCTCAAACATGAATATCAATTCTTTATTTCCTTTTCCAATTTGTGAATCCATTTAAAGCAAAACACTCACCACCTATTTAATCTCCAATATTTGTTTTATAAAGATAATAACACAAATAATAAGTGGCATCATTCTCTATACTATATTCCAACGAATTAACATAATCTTTGAACCAAGTAGGAATAAAACGACATGATACCTTTTTAATTTTTCTTTAGAGAAAATTATGTTCATAAGGTTGTCATGGATCATTTTACAAATAAGCTCTTCGAACCTTATCTCTATCATCAGTATTATAGTCCAAAATTTTTTTTCGTAACCCAGGATCCGTAGAAAGATAATCTAAATTTAATTCAACACGAACTTACCTTATGCAATGATGTATGCCACTAGTAGTGATTCTAGATAATTCTTAAAAAATTGACTTCCTTTTAATAAAATATTTCTCCATAACTAATTAAATTAATTAGTTTATGTAATTTATAAAAAAATAAGAACACATATTCAAAATATAATTATGCATGTTAATGAATATCAATTGATCATATATTTAAAATATACGGGTAAAAATGCAATTCATATATTGTAATTATACTACTATACACGAAATTGAATAGAATTTCTAACTAATTTTTATAATCTTCATATAAAAATTAATTTTTGCCAAGCTTAAAGTTATTAGTTGAATAAGTAATAACTAAAAAAATAAAGAAAAATATAAAATATAAAAAATTCAAACATGATAAATGCCGTCAATAACATGAATACATGATAAAATTATTTCATCAATATAATAAATTTTAAATAGTAAATAAATACTATATATAAAAATATTTTAAAAAATTGATTAACTAATTATAAAAATATATAAAGATATTTTACTTGAATATCTTGTTGAAAAAAAAAGATAACCAACTTATAATTTATTTCTTTAGTTTAAAGACTTTTTTTTCTTCAATTTTCTTCTTTAGTTCTCCTTATTTTTGTTTGAAAAATTTAAAAATGTAAAAATGGAGAAGATGAAAGAAAATGGGAAACGATTACTTTTATTTACAATCAATTTTTGTATAATAATTTTAAAATATTTTTTATTCACAAATCTATCACTTTTAATTAATATAAATTTAACTTTTACATATTATATTTCGGTGAGGGAATTATAAAAAAAATTAAACTTTTTAAATATTTTTGTAATATATTTTTTAAAAAATAAAGGGCAACTACCTGGGGTAACCCCAGTACCTTTAGTGTGCATCTGTCGTCCCTGTTTCTACCAACCTTCTCTCTGTATGCATGTGACCTTTTGGTGCTCATTTATGAACCTTTTATTTTTTTTGAACTTCTAAAAACCTAGAAACAAAAAAACGATAAGAGCTGCTAATTGAATGGTGGGCCAGAATTTGTCTGTTTCGAAACCAGTCTTGATTGAAAGCAAAGACGCATGAAAACCACTGCTTTAACACGGCTGCAAACACGCAATATTGCTGCCACGCCATGTTGAAAAAATGATATGCTCTGGATTTAGCGGCTGAGCTGGCTGACGTGTAAGCACTTACGTATATAAATGCGATTAATTTGTTGTTGGACTTTTGAATAAACTGAGGCTATACGAAGATGATTTCTGTGGCCGACATTTGATAAGGTTTTCTTAAAAGCTGTGTGCTTGTGATAAGGTTTTTTTAAAAAGCTGTGTGTTGCGTGTGTTGCGCTTACTCTTTTAATAAAACACAAAAGAAAAACAAAAAAAAAAAAAAGCGAATTTCAAGATCTACATATTTGTGGCATTGGACATGAGTTACTGCTGCATTGGCCCAAAAAAAAAAACGAGTTATTGCTGAGTCATCTTTGATGAAAAAAATTATTTAATTTTACAATATATTATTAATTATTTTCTTATTTAATATTGGTTTTTCTTTTTAGAAATCAATAGACCTTTAATATTAGTGTGCTTAAAAAAATTTTAATATTAGTGATGTGATTATTTAAATAATTATTTATATACATAAAATAAAATTTTTATAGAAATTTCATATGTTTGAGTTGAAATATGCTTTCCTTTTATTCCAAAAAAAGGTAAAATCTAAGTAAAGGTTTTGTTTGCCTGATTAAAAATTTAAATTTTACGTGTCAAAATTAGTGTGGTAAGTCAAAATTTTGTTTATTACCATGTATACTTTGAAAAAAATACACAAAGAGAATATTTAAATTATAAAGATAAACAATCATTTAGTTATTGTAAGTTGACTTAGTGGATTGTAGTTACCTATTCCAAAAGTTTTAAATTGTCAATGTTATTATATTAAGAGTTGTCCAAAGAATTGCACATATTATATATTGATTTAGTAGTTGTAATTACCTATTCCAAAAGTTTAATTTGTCAATGTCATTATTTTCATTAATTTTCCAAATAATTGCACAAATTGACCAAACTTAATCACATAAGTTTACCCAATCTACCATAGCAAACCCAAGATACATTCCAATTTGGGTACTAAAATAATTTTAAGTTGAACTATTCCTTTTCCTTATATGAGGTTTCTTACTTTTTTTTTTCTTTCATAATCATATGCTTCTCACTTCCAATCTTCCATAATATTAGTTTAACAAAGACAAGATAAAATATAGAATTATCATCTTAATTCATTCAATTTATTTATATAATTATTTTTAAAATAATATTTAATAAATTTAAAATTAAAATGTTAACACTCATGATATCTTTTTATATAATTTAATTTCTTTAATATAAAAAAATAAGACAAGATCATCTTGGTCATCCTTGTCTAGCAATCACGCAGAAAAAAAAAAAACCCAAATAAATAAATCTAACCCCAAAAAATAAAATAATAGAAAATTTTCTTTTAAGGAAATGGTGAGTCAAAGGAGGTGGACAACCGAGGCCAAAGTAAACGCAACGAGTGTAATAGCTGGGAGCTGACAAAGCCAAATTGGCGTTCCACATTTGAATTTGTCGGTAATAAACAATTGGCGACGTTTTTGAGTACAAATTAAAAAGCACGTGGTAGAGCGAGAAACTTCAAAGATATGATGAAGATCAAACCAAGTTTTCTAGACATAGAAAGTCAAAAGAGCATATGCTAAAATAAAAATATATGAAAATCTTAGCCATTCATTCAAGACCTGGCAAATAGAGTTGTTGTAACTGTAGTAGTAGTAGTTATAGTTCTCATCCTTGAGATTTTCAATAGCTTGGAAAAGTCACCCTTTCCCGTGTTTTGACTTTCTCAGGTTTTGAATATCCTCTATCTCACCCCACGCATATATAATCGAACCCCTCTGGATTTCTCATCCTCCAAATCCTCTTCAAAGTTCAAACCAATTCACAGCGAATCTTCAAGAGCTCCAATTCAGCTATTTTCAATTCAATTTCCGACTCTTTTTGAAACAAACTTAAGCTTTTTCTTGCCTGTGTTGTTCTTGAATCTTGGTTGGTTTTTAAAATGGATGAAATTGATGTTCCTCCATTTTTTATCTGCCCCATCTCTCTTGAGATTATGAAGGATCCTGTTACGGTTTTAACAGGGATTACGTACGACAGGGAGAGCATTGAGAAATGGTTGTTTTCAGGGAAAAACACCACATGTCCGGTTACAAAGCAAGTTATAGCAGATTGTGAACTTACCCCAAATCATACCCTAAGAAGATTGATTCAATCTTGGTGCATGTTAAATGCTTCCCATGGAATCGAAAGAATCCCAACGCCAAAGCCACCCATCAGCAAAGCTCAGATTACCAAGCTCCTCAATGATGCCAAGTCACCCCAGCAACAGATAAAGTGTCTCGGGAGGCTACAGTCCATGGCTTCTGAGAATGCTACAAACAAAAGGTGCATGGAATCTTCAGGCGCAGTTGAGTTCTTAGCTTCAATTGTTAGTAATTACGACTTTACAGCAGCTGAAGAATCATTAGATAACGAGTTTGAGTCAATAAGACCAACTGATGAGGCTTTAAGCATTCTCTACAATCTCCAACTCTCAGAAGCTGCTCTCAAGAATCTTATGGGCAAAAATGGTGATTTTGTACTGTCCTTAACAAGAGTAATGCAAGGTGGAAGCTACGAGTCTCGGGCTTATGCAGTACTTTTGTTGAAATCAATGCTGGAGATAGCTGACCCAATGCAACTCATCAGCTTGAGACCTGCATTATTCGTCGAATTAATTCAAGTTTTACGTGATCAAATTTCTCAGCAGGCCTCAAAAGCTACTCTAAAATTGTTGGTCAGTATTTGTCCATGGGGTAGAAACAAGATTAAGGCAGCTGAAGCCGGCGCGGTACCTGTTCTGATTGACTTGCTTCTTGATTCATCTGAGAGAAGGGCTTGCGAGATGATACTAACAGTGCTGGATGCAGTATGCGGATGTGCAGAAGGCCGATCCGAGCTGCTAAAGCATGGGGCAGGGCTCGCTATTGTTTCAAAGAAGATACTTAGGGTTTCTCAGGTTGCAAGTGAAAAGGCAGCGAGAATTTTGCTGTCTATTTCCAAGTTCTGTGCCACTACTAATCTGCTTCAAGAGATGTTGCAACTAGGGGTTGTGGCTAAATTGTGCTTGGTACTTCAACTAGATTGTGGATTCAAGACTAAAGAGAGGGCCAGAGAGGTGCTCAAATTGAATGCTAGAGTTTGGAAGGATTCTCCTTGCATGCCAAGCAATCTGCTCTCTTTCTATCCAGCTTGACCATAGGGCAAAACTAGATAGATTCCAGAGTTTCAAACTTTTTGTTTCTTTTTGTCAATTACCAATACTTGTGTACATATATGATCGTTCATCGATATACTTAAATAGCAAAAGCTAGCAACATTCATGGAAAAAAAAAAAAAACTGGTGCCTGAACAAATTAAATTTATAATTCATGGCAAAAGAAGAACATTGTTTTATGTTCGTAACTTAAATGATTGGATTCTGACTTCATCATTAATTTATTGACAAGCTGTTGATTTACCTTGTTTGATTAATTGCTTACCTAAATGAATACATGGAATCAGTTGTTAAAGGATGTTATATTTTGAGATTAAAAGGGTTAATTCCTTCTAACAGAAGTAAATTAAATCCGGAAGAGTTTGGTTTCGTTAAGAATTGCATCTTGGGAAATGCTTGAATATTGGATAAATGACTAATGAGCGGCATCTAAGCCACATGCAAATGAAATTTCTCTCCTTTTGTCATCAATTTTCTTTTATACATTTCCATATATAATCGGTTGTTATTGACCTGATCTAATTGATCTGGTAATATTCCTTGTTTAGATCGATGGTTAGTCAAAGAAAGAAATCGATGAATCGATCAGCTTGTATTAATATTAACCCAATATGATTTTGCATAAAAAAAATCATATCAAAGTAAGAGAAATTAAGCATTTTCCAGAGACAAAAATGCAAGCCTAAAGAAGTTGAGAAATTGAGTTCACGTATCAGAGTTTCCATCGGCGCAAAAGGTTGGCCGCAAGCCAGTGTAGAAATGACCCAGCATGGGAGCCGGTGAAGGTCAGCGCACACTATTTTTTAAGTTACGGAGGTCAACCATGGTTCAGGCATCAGTCCATCGACCAACTCCTGCCTTTGAACAGTCTCAAAAAGCCGGCGATCTTTTACCTTTCCTAGTTTTATTACAAAATTTTCTATAAAAAAAATCAGCGAGACCTAATCATTTCAGCCATTTTATTTAATTACACAAATTACAAAATCTCAATTATTTAAAATCACATAGCAATCTATAAATATATCTACCTAATATTTTAATACTATTAATTTAGCTTCGTACTTGTGTATATATTTCTTTGTAATTAAATTGGGGCATGAAATTGGCCAACCACATACTGTTTGTATCATTTATGATTATTATGTTATTATAATAGTTTTGTCAACCATAATAATAATAATAATAATAATAATAATAATAATCTGAGAAAACAACAACATTTTTTTCTTGTGGTCAAACTCAACATCCCCAGATTACTGCAACAATACAACTTGCACATGGTTAAGACTAACATACCAGACCCTCACCGTCCGACGACTTTTGTGATTCATGTAATCGAACATTCGACCACGTCTCATGTCTACTCTTTCATCATTAGATTAATTGAACCGTACGCCGTCCACCACCGATGCTAAACTAAGCAGCGTTTGGTACCCTCACCCATTGGTTTAACGAGCGAATAACATTTATCAGGATGTTCCCATAAATATATATATATATATATATATATATACAAGCTTAGCATCAGCTGATCTTAATGATCCAATTATATATCAGCTCTAAAATATTGAAGATAGAAAAGGATGGATGGTAAGGTTATGCATGTTGCATATACTGCTGTACCCAAAAGTAAAAATGTTAAATGCATATACTGACATTATATATATATATATATATATGTATGTATGTATGTATGTATGTATGTAGCCTAATTCTTGAAACTCTGAATTGAAGTATCTGTTTGTAATTGAAGTAAAAGACATGCTGCTCATTTTTTTAATTTCTTTCAACTTATACTTTTGTTCATATACTGATATTATTCGATTTTTTCATTCTATACACAAATATAAGGAGAATAACAAGCAAAAATAGAGGGGGGAGAAACAGTGATTTATAGCGGAGGCTAGTGCACATGCATTCCCTCAAGTCCTGGAGAAAGTATCATCACTAGGACAAATCAATTGGACTCCAATTACCAAACAATAGATTTGGATCGTGAGTAACAGGTCCTACAACTGGCTTTCCTGTTGCTTGCAAGCCTTGAGTAATGGAGGAGTGAGTATTCGACCACAGTATTTGTTGCGAGGATAAATCATCGCCTGGCAATGGTGGCAATGCATAGTTACTTGTTTCATGACTTGTACATTGTTGAACTCTATCTTGATGCTTGTGAACTGATTCTAATCCAGAGTAGTATATCTGATCATTGTTGCCCAAATGATTTTCTGTGGATAAATCGGAGCAAGTGAGGCATCCAATTAGACCATTTTCTTTTGGTAGCTGCATACTTGATTCCATGTTTGTGTTCCATAAGCTTGAAAACTCTAGAGATGGATCCAACTCATTAGGCAACTCTGGCACTTCAAAACCAGTTTCATTGTTTTCTGGTTGTTGATTATTCAAGAAGTTTGCATAAACGAGTGCCAGATCGATATGAGAACCATCAGACACTGCTGAAGAGCTATTAGACTCAGCAGAGGCATTCACTTTATTACCATGGGAATTCCCCATTGAGTTAGTTGGAACTACACCACATGACAAACTCTTTGAGGGGACACCGTCGGTTGGTAGCCTTAATGACTTACCTCTTCTGTTTTTCCGGCGGCCACCTCCAACCGGCACATTCCTAAGTGACCCTCCTTTAGTCCAATATCTTCTACAGCCTTTGCAGAAGTACCTTGGTTGTGTTAAGCTATAGTTGTTGTAATAGCAGAATTTTGTATTCGGAGAACCACACCTTGGACAATTTAGTGATATCTCCACACTACGCTTCCATCCTCTCTCCATAACCAGTTGGCTTGAACTGCATAGCCTTCATCAAGAAAGCTAGCGCGCAGACGTCTCTCTATCTGGGGGAGTAGGAGAGAAAGGGGTTCAATTGAACATCGAAACCAAACAATGTGAAAAGAGTTATAAGCGACAATGGAAATGTGTGAGCAATCCAATCAAGCACATGAGTGGATGGGTTAAGTGTGTTTGAGGGCACATGGATGCTTATGGGGCCTTGGAAACGTGGGTGCAGCCATGCACATGAGAGTGTGTTAGGCAAGTTGGGGATGAAGGGTGGGTGGTGTGTGATAGTCCCGTAGGCCAATACAGTGTGTCGGTGTTTGTCACACGTGGCACGATGCCATAGACAGTAATGAATGAGGAATAGGAAGCAAAGGCCTCGAGCGGCACAATCAGGTTTTATTTCAGCAGCAGACAACCTAGAATTCCAGATTCAGAGATGTTAAATGTCCTCCTCTCCTTTCAGGTAATAGCTTCCCCTCGTAAACAACCGATTCAGTTTGGACAAATTGTACGAAACAGATCATGCACACGGGCAATGCACGTGGCTGATGTATGCTTCTTAAACAAAGAATGTCTCTTTGGTCGTAGAATAATAACTTAAGAGAGGATATCTGGGATCATGCGCTTCTTGGATCATGTAGCTTTTAATTTGCAGATTTCATGAATGTGCATGTCGACAAAATGTTGAAGAAAATGAAGACACATTTCTGAAAACTAAGCAGTTCCTTGACCTATTCATATTATATATAGAGAGAGAAAGAGACTACAGCAGTTATCGAATGAAATGAAAAAGAATTCTTTTTAATCCACTTTTAATAAATTTATTCTCTGTACTCTAATTTGTTTAACATTTCAGATAAGATTTCCCTAAAAAAATGATTAAATTATTTGTATTTCAATTGCTCGGATTTCCCAATTTTCATCCATTTTCACGTTTCTTCGAAATTCACTCAAACCAAGAGCGGTTTATACAACATAAACGCAATGATTTTGCTTGTCAAGAGTTATTATTTTAAAAATTCAGACACCACAGTTTCGGACAATAAATGTTAATACCCATTTTAATATTTTATTTAGAGTACCAAGATCGATTGATTCATTCAAAACTCTTCCCTCTTTGGATTGAGGATTGAGAGAGTCAAGAAACGGAATGAAGGTGGTGAAGCACCAGTACTGATTCCCTCGTCTGAAAACTATCGATTTCAACTTTTAAGACATTTTAAGTTCACGTTTTCTGCATATATAGTATAGCATAAAGCTGAATGGTATAAATTCGAAAGATTTTATATTACATTTGATTTGAATCTTAAAATTTTCCAAAAGTAACTCTACAATCTCAGCGCCACAGGGCGTAGTCTGGCAACTGTTGCTATTAATAGACCGTCGTAAAGCATATAACTAGGGATGGAAAAATTTCCCCTACTAATGCAAAACATGGAAAATAATGTACATATGGGCCAATCTTATACAAAATTTAGTGGAAAAGGCTCAATCAGGGGACTGCATTTGAATCTTGAAACATGGTGACGAAGGTTGTGCCCCGAGACGATGTATCGGGAGTCTTGGACCAATGATTACGGGTCAGAGGTAATGCTAAGAAAAATGGAAGAAATCATCCTCACAATCCCATATCATGTTGCTACAGCAGACCTAGCTTTCCTGTTAGAACACGAGAAGCAAACATGTTTAGAGTATTATAGCAGCAATATTTAGCACGCAGTCATGTATATATGCATCAATGTTGGAGTGGATGCATGTATGCAAGCCATATAATATAGAAATAACTTGCAAACAATAAGTCATCGAATGGAACCTGCAGTAAAATATGGAGAAGTGGAATTGTTCCTAAGCAGAGCAAGTTAAAATTCAGAAACTTGGCTTTCTGCATGTTGATCAAAGATATTACTCCAATATAGAATCCCATTGAGTTGCCACAAACAAAAAAGTGAAACTAGACCTGAAGCATCTGAATTAACTTCGGATACTGCTCCATTAGCTGGCAGAGTTTTTCTTGATCTCTCAACAAAATACATATCTGAATAGTTTCCGGAGACTGGAAGTACTCATGTAAGGACATTCCAGGATCTTGTTGCTGCTGTGATGCACCACCTGCTTGCTGTAGAGCATATGGTTGAGCAAGCTCAACCTGAAGCTGTTGTTGTGCTGGTGAAAGCTCTGACTGTTGGGACTGATGATAAGGGTTAACAGGAAAGCTTGTTGTAGCATTTGCAATGACTGCATTTGCATCTGAACAGGGGTTTGAAAAGACACCCCTTGGTCCAACTGCAGTGAAGATTGCAAGGAAGGCCTAAGATGTTGAGTTGGCTGCAATGGACATTGAAGCTGCTGCAACTGAGCAAGAGAATGCATTGACTGAAGAGATGACTGAGGTATCAAGGGATTCTGCAAGATGCTAGGAGGATTCTCCCCCAGCTGCTGTGCAAGAGTGCTTCCATAAGGAATTGAAGCAGGCCTACTAAAAACTAATGATTGCATCAGCAGTGGAGGTGGATAAGAAGTCAAACCAGCAGTTGAAGCAGAAAGTCGAGCATCAATAGCGGGTCCCATAGAGCTCCAAGGAAGTTCAGTTTTCCCGATACCAGACTGATTGTACACTGATGGTTGGGAAGTAGAAGCATTTAAGGAAGCTAAATTATATGAGCTAGATGCCAATGGAGGTAGTGTTGAAGGAAGCGGTAGGGGAGGCCTGGTAGTTCCACTAGGCAAAGACATTAAGGTTCGCAAAAACTTGGAATCTGACATAGTTACGAAAGTTTGCAACAATGAAGGACTGCCACTAACTGCAGACAAATAATCGGATTGGACCTGCAAGAAAGAAAAGTTAAACATTTAGAAAGTATAAGTAGACTTCTGCCTGAAGTGGTTAATTATCTTAACTAGAAAGGCTGTCAGTTCTGAAATGAGTACTACTAGTAAGACAACTTACTGGTGAAATTGAGGATGGAGGAGGCATTGGAGATAAAGGTGGTTGATTTGGCAGAACTTTCTGCTCATTTATTCCTCGATGTCCAGCTGCGACAGGAAGGTTACTAGTATACTGTGGGCTGCTCTTCAGATAGAAGTTTTGCAGAGCTATCCTTGAATCTGCTGGCAACTGCACTGATGTTGGAGGTGAATTACCATAAACTGGGGTAGAGAACCCCAAACTATTTGCCCCAGTTGCAGAATCAAACCCACTAGAGTTGTTAATTGAAATAGCATTCTTGGAGTCATCAGATTGCTCAAAAAATTTCTTATCTAAAGAAACATTATGTTCTCGTGTAAAGGCATTTCAGGACGAGAAACTGACATCCTTGAAGAAAACTCACTTTGGGCATTCTCATCAATATTAGATGTTAATGGTGTAGCCATGTGAGAAAATTGACTGCATCCATTAACATCATTTTCGGTCTCTTCAACAACAGAATGCGTAGAACTTTGTTCAACTATTACAGTAGCAGGCTGCCGCAAGTTATCATCTGGCCGGCGGAAGGGCAATCTATCATCAGTTTCAGATTCCTCACCATCAAACACTATATCAATTCCCTGAAGATCATCATCAAGATCAGTTTTCAGCTGCTTAGACTTGTTCACTTTTTCATTATCTATCCCATTTATAAGAGCTGAATTCTTAGATTGAGCTGCCGTCTCAACCCCTGATGCAGCAGGATTTTGACACTCCGTCTGGCCGTAAACTCATCCACATGAATAGAAGGAGGTCTCCCCCCAGAAGATACTATTCGCTGAACAGCGATTACATTAGAATTAGTAACACCATCGACACTCCTTTCTCTTGCAACATAGTCATCCACATGCATAGATGGAGGCCTGCTCGTATTAGGTTTCTGTTGTCGAAAGGTATCCCTTTTGAGTAGTACCAGAAGGGGTGCTTGATGGACCCAATCCCCGTGAAAATGAAGTTGGATTTGTTATCTCAGCCACTAAATTATCTCCTCTGGCACGCCTATTTGAGCTGTCGGCTGGTTGCGGTTTCCTTCTTGTAAGAAGAGCTGTCTGCGACAATCTATCAGGTAATGTTTCCAGCAATTCGCATGAAAACTTACCTTCAAATCCTCCTAAGTAAAGGTTTTCATCTGGCTTTTCACCAATATGTTGGTCGAAGTGATGGATTCTTGAAGGAAATTGAACATTGTTTTGAGGAAAAGAAAGACTTCCATAGAGAATGGTATCATCCACTTTAACAGCAGCAGTAGAATTTTGGAAAAACAACAACAACGACTTCACAGACTCAGAAACCTGCGCATCAGTGATTAGTTCAGGTTTCAGAAACAATTCAGGGGAAAAGAAAGCATACAAGCACACCTAGTTATACCTGACACATTATGACATGCATATCTGATGGAGATTGATAATCATCATTACTAATCCTTGAACTTAACAGAGAAGATAATTCCTGAATATAATTTATGTTCTCTTCTGGAAAGCCACCTATCCCAGCAATATCATCAGGAAGCCCAAAAGGAATTTCAATGCAACAACAGCATTAATGTTCAAACTGATGAGAGAGCACACCATAAGTTAGCCACAAACACTCTACAAGATAGATGAGCAAAGAAGCTAATATGCAAACACAATATTAGAATCGTAACATGAATCAAGCTTAGCTTGTTACAAAGCCTTTGTGCATATAGCTAAAAAAAACCTAAGTTGCATTTGACTGAAAAGATTTCAGATTTCTTTTTCCCGATCCCAGTACATGCATTTGGTGAGAAAGAATACATAGTCTTTTGCTTTCGGCTTTCTTCTTTAATTTGATGGAAAATAGTGAAACATGTTTGAATTAGTCTCAGTTTTCCACCATTATTGGAGCTGCAGAGTTATCTATTTTTTATGAAAAAAAAAATAGAAACCACTATTCTCAAAAGAACAAGGACATCACCCTCTTCCTGAAAAACGTACTGCAGCCTTAAGATTGTTATGCTTAAGATGGTCTAAAACAATAAAATAACAAGTGACAAGTCTTATTAACAAAA